TCATTGATGGAAATGAAGTGGTACGCCGGGCGATCAACAGTATTCCCTCTCTTAACCTGCTCTTCGGGCCCGGTGCTGGAGACGAGAATGCTAGAAAAGAACCTATCCCTGTACGATCTAGGAGTGTTCCTGCCCAGTGGAAACCGTTTTCTGGAAGTCGTTAGGAAGTTCTTTTCTATCTTGTCGAGTTACTTTCCTTACCATGTTTCCCATTTTTTTTTCAAAGATTTCTTATCATGTGGACGGTTCTGCAATCTGTACATTATTGGTGGTGTTGCGGCTTAGCTTTAGCTTTTAACGAAATATTGTATCGTATTTTTATTTCTTGTCCTTTATATCTAAGAGGCAAAAATGGAATATCCGTGTCTCTATTTATGCAAACATCTCCCCAATTACATTTCAGACTATAGACACTATTCTAGGCGGTCACAAGATGAGAGAACCACCTTTCAATGCTGGGGGAATGAGATGATGCTATTGAACATGAAAATAGAAAGAAACATGGTTGTGTGGATCACATAATGAAGAAACAAACGGAGTCATCAGAATATATTTATTTTCGTCTTAGTGATAAGGGGTTAGATGTTCAGTGAGCAGGCATGCAACGTACAGATGTCAAAAGAGAAAGAACCCTTTATCTTTGATTCAAAGCTATATCGAAAAAAATCCAATCCCATGTCCTGAACACCAAAGTGCTCACTACATGAATCTGACTTCCAAGATACACAGAGATAGAAGCTTGAACGCTTATATTTGGAGGGAAAAAAGTGAAAAACAAGATGGAAATATCGACGGTATCAAAGAAAGAAACATGGCATGTTCGATATTAAGCTTAAGGTCGTCTGAGAAATATCTGCCGTTGCGCACAAAGCGTTAGGAGCGCTGATAGAAAGGCCTCAGCTGCGCCGGGGACAAGGGGCGCACGCATCGTCATTGAGGCCAAGTCCAAAGGGATCATTCTCCACAATCTGCTTCAGGCGACGCTGACGCCAGTCTACTCCGTTCTGGTTGAATCCAATTGGCTTGAGAGAGTGGTGGGGGCTACCATAACGGACGCTGTCACCAAACTGGGAGGCGCAGGTGCCAGCAGCGTTTTCAAGAGGCACGTGTGTTGCACCGCCGCCAGTAGGTCCAATTGTCCATGAAGAACGAGATGAGCGGAAGGATTGCGCGCGACAGTGTGAGGGGATTGGGGATGAGAAAGAGGAATGGGATCCCACAAGGCCGCTGATGGCCGTGGTTGGCGTGTTGCGGAATGTATTGTCAGTAGAGAATGGGCTTTTGGACGAGGAAGACTTCGGCTTGTTAGTCATAAGTTTTCCAGGAGTCATTGGCCCCTCCGGCTCAGTTACCGCCATGGAATCGAATGGCGAGAGGATACTGGGGGCCATTTCACCATTGATGCAACTTGTCACAGCCCAGATGGAGCTGCTTCTAGAGAGATCAGTCTGATTGTGCGGATGAACAATAGAGCTTCTATCAAGGCCATGCGAGCTTCTCACTGCGCTGGCTCCAGTCAGAAATGTGGGGTTGGATGCACAGGATCCGACAGGTTCATGGCTTGCGGATTTCCCAGCAGCATTCGTGATATTGTTGCGGTCCAGAGCTGGGATGGGATGTGCTCCCAAAACATTCTGAGGCGGGTTTGGGTGAGGAGGCCAATGCCCCTCCGTGCTGATTGTCATTAGCCG